ATATTGGATGACCACCATAATAATTCAGCAATTCATACTAGGGCCAGAACCTATCACCTTTGAATCCCCATAATGAACTGATTCTCTTCCCTCAAACCAAGAGATTTCATGAACCCCACACAATCTCGACTGGGATTCACAGGACCTGGTGAAAGAGTTTCAATTGTCTGCCTTTCAGCCTACAGACAGTACTTCATACTCACAATCTATTCCAACAATCTCAAAAGTTATTTGTCCACTATTCTGAGAAGTATGGGAAACTTTTGAAGAGATTTTTAAAATGTTGTATGTATTTCAATGCAACTTTGGTCCTCACAATGGCACGGTCATATAATGTAGTACACTGAAATTAACACACAATTTAGTTGGGAAAGAAAATGCCACCTTATACAGCTAATCACAGAAGAAAGGAAGTGCTGCACTACGGGTCTATGGTCTGTCCTCCAGCACCATGCCACTGTAACCTTCACACCGTCTATCACGTTGTTCTGTCTCACGCTATCCCTGGTTTTCATTTCTACCAAGAACAATAACACCAAAGGGCAAAAGGATAGAGTTATGTGTAGTTTTTTGGCTTCTGACTACAAAAAGCTAGGAACACAGTCATACTTCCTTTTACCTTTGCAACCCTATTTTATCAGTAAAGAGAATCATGATTAAACGAAATTATACCAGAAAAGTATGAGCATCAAATCACCTAGGGAGAAACAACGTTCTATACAAAAACGTTTCATTTTTAAATTCTACCTAATTTCTTCCTTTCTTTTTTGTTTGTTTGTGGTACCAGGGATCAAACTCAGGACCTCCTGCTTGCTACGCAAGCACTTATTCCATAGAGCTATCTCCCCGCCCCAAGTGCTTGCTACGCAAGCACTTATTCCATAGAGCTATCTCCCCGCCCCAAAAGTTTTGTGGGGTTTTTGTTGTTGTTGTTTTGTTTTGTTTTGTTTTTAGTGTATTTCATATAGGGTCTACAAGGTCTCACACACAGATTGGACTCATAGTGACTCTTCTGTTTTCAGCCTCCTAAGAATTGGGATTACGGGTGTGTATGACCACATGAGTCTCAATCTCTGTCTCAGTGTGCCCTGGGGGAGGTACAGACACAGCAAGCTCAGGATCAAACTCCAGTCCGTGTGCTTGCCTAAGCAGGCGCTTTAGTCCACTGCACTACGTGGCCAGCTCTTCTAAATGAAGTTTTTTTACAAGCAAACAAACAATCAAAAAATGCAAGTGGGTTAGGAAGAGGCACATTTTTGCCAAATTGGGAGAAACAAAATGAAAAAAGACTGGTTCACCTTTTTGGAGGACAATTTGGCAATGCATAGCGAAAGCACAAATATTACTTTTATCTCTAACCTGAAAATTCAGTAGGTATACCAAATTCAACCAGAGATATACAAACAGATCTATGTACATGAATGTCCATGAAAAAAACGTGGAACTTATGAGAAGGCATCAATTACTAATAACAGGTAATCATGGCACCTTTTCACAATAAAATGTTATACAACCATTAAAAATCATACTATGGAACAGTGCTTAATGCTGAGGTATTCATGATGTATCATATAAAAATGTCTCAGTGCAAAACACTATGTATACCATAATTCTAAGCTTAAAACACAAATGTACATGGGACAAAGAAGCTACAAGGACAGATGAAATATTAATAGTAATCTTCCCTGTTTGGTAAGACTATAGGTAACTGTACTATGAACTTTACAACATTCGTGGTGTGCAGCAAGCCCTAAAGCTCCATATATGAAAAATATCAAAGGAGATGCTACAAGGTCTAAAACTAGGGATTTGCTTGAGAATAAAGTTATAAATATTGCTGAAGACATCTTCGTGGCCACACAACACAGCTAATTGTTTTCTAATATGTGCTGATAGACTTTTCCCATATTTTAATTTCTCAATTCCTCTTCAATGGAGTGTTCTCCAAGGTGTTCATGGAGCATTTGTTTTGTTTTGTTTTTCCTTTTGGTAAAAGGAAAAAGACCACAGGACCTCACCCACGCTAGGCAGGAACTCTGCAACTGAGCTCAGCTAGACCAACAGCCTCAGGATGATGTCCTGCCACACCTGAAAATGAAATGTCTGCAAAGGCCTGTATGCTCAAGGCATGTCCCCAACCCATGGTGCTACTGGCAGATGGGGGAAAGAAACTAAACAACCAGGGCCTGCTCCTGAAGGAGACGTGAGGCCTTGGCCCCTCCCCTTTCGTGCCTCCTTGCTGCCATGGGGTGAGTGGTATCCTGTGCAGCCTGCTTCCACCATGATGTTCTGTCTCACTGCAGGCCCACAAGCCAAAGCAACTGGGCCATGTACTGTAACCTCTGAAACCGTGAGCCACAAAACTAATCATATTTTAAAACTGCTTTCCCCTCTACAGCAATGAACCCCATTTATGACATATGAACATCCAGACCTGATTTACTTATCTTATATACTGAATACACTTGCTTCATATGGTGGTCCTAGAAATCACGGTCCTACAATTCAACTTGTTTTACACAAAATAACATATAAATGTTACATGAGGTAGAGACTAAAACCCAGAAAGCTCTGAGAGACAAATAAGACCCATGTTCCCGGTTCAAGTAAGCAGGCAAAGTGCTGCGGGTAGGGCAGGCATGGCACTACTGAAATCTGACAGGAGACAGAGGCTCTCTGCCCAAAGTTATGCCCACCTGAAGTCAGTGCACCCTTACAGAGGCCCTCTACACTGTCACAAGAGTACAAGGTGCAGCCTTCAGCAGTAGCACCAAGTCAAACACCTGAAGCGTTGTTGGAAGTGATACAACAGGCAAGTCAGAGGTTCTATGAAAGCACTCTGCCTCCAGGTTCATATCACAGAGATTCTAGTCTCAGGAATATTAGAGGGCCCCAGGTGACTTGTTAGAAAGCCGCGACAGACATGAGGGGTTTATTTAGTATCCCAGTTCACCTACCTACCCTCACCTCTGCGCTTTGAACTGCTTGGAGTAGGGCAGTATAGCAAAATCTGTCTAGGACACTGTGGCTGAAAGGCCCCAAAGGAAAAGGTTGAGCTGCCACAGAAAAAATCTTTATACCAAAAGCTATCAGAAATCTGTATTTGAAGACCATCTGTAAAAAGAGATCAGTTTCCTTTAGAACAACAGGCGGGCTCTCATGGGTGACTATATAAAATCCACTGCCTCATTACTATTAGCTGATAGGCTTCAGTGAACTCTGCGGTTCAAACATTGCCACAGTCAACCAGGGGGAATTTCTCCTTGTCCTAGTGGCAGCGACTCATGCTCCATGCACAAAGCAAGACATCTATCCAGCAGAGCAAAGGCTACGCCACCGTGGAAGGTATACAGATTGGCTTCTGTTAAGAAACGAGCCTTTTCTGACGGGAGGTGAATGCCTCGATGTGGAGCTCCAACCACTCGAGAGTCCCTACGTGACGCCTGCTTGTCACTCAGGAGCAACCACTGGCAGCATCTGAGCTGTGCCTTTGATGATCTGCAATTTTAATAATGTCCTTGGGATATGTTTGTGCCCCACACTTGAGCAGTTAGGAAAACAGCGCCAGAATGTCTGCTGTATAGTCAGTAAGAAACACAGGAAGTTCCAAAAAGAACATATTGATCGTAACTACAATTGAAACTGTTATTGTGAACAGCAGAGTCTATCGCAGGGCTTCCCTCTGCCCCACTGAATCTATACCCTCCTGCTCCCTATAACCTTCCCTGGGCTCTGCAGCATTTTCACCCACCCCGACCAGAGTGCCAGGAGCTGGCGCTGAGCTTTCTAGGCCCAACATGGGTACTCCCTGCCTCCCGCCCAAAATAAAATCTCTCCACGCAGAATACTACATATTCCTCTGAATGTTACCAAACACCTACAGTGTTTAAGACACAAGGTTTACCCCTCTGAAACACCGATGTTTTTACTTATCAAATAAGGCAATTATATCATTTTTACTGTACCTTGTACCTAAAGCCATGATTCCCATGACGTATCACAAATGTTTTATTTGTCCCACCTGATCCTTAAATTCTTAATGCCCAATACTATCCTCAACAGACCTGGGGTTTCCAAGAGTCCTAGATATAAGGTGTATCGTCTGTCTGTCTCTCTCTCTCTCTCTCTCTCTCTCTCTCTCTCTCTCTCTCTCACACACACACACACACACACACACACACACATACACAGTTGTGTTCATTTTGAGAAAAATGACCTGTTCTTACTTTCTATTTATGTTAAGCTCCCCCATTAAGGCAAATTCAACTAGTAAGTGTCAGATACTAAAAGTAGAGTAAATAAGCACTTCACAGGGAAAAACAATAGTTTCTTAACCTGAGTAATACTCTTAACACAGGAAAGTTTAGAATAATCCCAGTTCAGAGATTTAGAGCTCTCATAGTGCCACCTAGTGGGAATGTGTGAAATAAAATTTTACTTTAAATTTAATTACTTTTAATTAGATTTTCTACATTATATTGCACCCTGTACTACATAGGCTTTAACTTAATCTTCAGCATAGATTTAGGGTACTAAAAAAATCAAACAACCACAGAAAGCTGCTGTTCAAAATGATCCTGCCTCAAGATATATAATACACTAAATGAAAATAATACAAATAATAGAAAATGAATCATTTTGATAATAGGTTTTTATCAAATGTAAATAACTACATGCCTTCCTGGCTAGTCCCCCAACATTTTAATATGACACTATTAAATTTAACAGTCTACTACAATCGAGGTGCCGATCTACACATAGGAAAAGTATCACCTTGCTATCCAATACACATATGAATTAGGGCTAGATGTCTTTTGAAGAAATCCATTATGAAACCAGCAATATGTGCTATTCTCAAACATATACCACTTGCCCCAAAGTGGTGGACTCAACATGGCTTCCTCATCGCCACATTATTACCCTGCGCCCTTGAGGAGTTGTTCATCTATAATTTACAGGTTCACCCTCTAAAACCAGTAGATGTTACTACTGCCGGCGACATTAAGAATATCCCCCTTTAAGGGCAGCTACATAGAAGAAGCTGATCTCTCCATCTGTATATGTGGCTATGACCACTGCATTATCTTATCTGCTGCATGCACTTGGAAAACATCCCTCCCAGAACTGAAGCGGAAGTCAGCTAATGTATTAGGAAGAGCGGAAGACACAGGTTCTCCGAGGAGATGGACCCAACACCAAAGGCACTGATATCAAGGCATGGCAGTAAAGCAACTCGTTCCTTCAAGTAGGCCCACAGCTGAGAGCAACACATGCACAGGCACAGGCCCAGTCCCCCGGCGCCACTCTGGGCAGTTGCCCCAAAAGCCACCAAACTTCCAGGCTAAGTTCAATTCCAACAACAGGCTGACACTTAATATGGGAGAAGCAACCAATGAGATCTCCTCTCATCTGGAAGAAAATGCAGCTGTTTTTGACAAAGAGATAAATAATAACAAACATTTTGTTTAAAAAACACAAAACTTGGGGGCCTGGCCCTAGCTCAGTTCTTTAAGTGGCTGCTTCCACAAAGCTGTCAGCCTCAGGTTGCTGTGGTTCCATCCCCACAACTCAAGCCAGCCAAACCTACCCTGAAGGCATTCGGAGCAATAAATAAATAAATAAATAAAAATAAATAAATAACACAAAACAATGGTAATCTATCTAAAACTGATAAACTTTGTAATTTCCAGTTTCATGCTAAAAAGATTTAGTTATTTAAAAATAACTACATTACTGTCTTTATGAAATCCCAAGGAGTCTCTCAATTCTACTATGGTATAAAATAATTTTAATTTCAAAACAAAAACAAAAAAATCACAGACTGTAACATTTTCATCAGAACTTTCATTGCAAAGTAAAGTAGGAAGTGTAGGTTGCACTTCTAAGGAACTAACACAAATAGTGATGGCTTGGTCTCTGCTCTGTTCTCAGAGAAGCAACAAGCACACCGTACACTCTGGCCTGGCCATGGCAGAGGCCCCACGACTGTGTGTGTGTGTGTGTGTGTGTGTGTGTGTGTGTGTGTGTGTGTGTCTGGAAACTCAGCCCTCAGCGTGGTGACAATGAGGCTGTAGGCCCAGCAAGATACGCGGCCCACTGGGAAGGAAAGAGGTCACCAGAGACAGCCCTCTCGGTAAAAACTAATGCCATTCTCCTGGAATCCAAATCAATTCCCAAGCAGTTGGATATTATAAAAAGAGCTTAGGGGCCGGGGAGATGGCTCAGTGGAATAAGCGCTTCCCTGGCAAGCGCAAGGGCCTGAGTTCAATCCCTGGTTCCACAAAAAAAAAAAAAAAGAGCTAGATTTCTCCAGACATGGTGTTACACATCTGCAATCCCAGAACTCTGGGAGGCAGACACACGAGGATTACAAATGCAAGCCCAGTCTGGGCAATTTAGTGACTTAGTGAGACCCTGTCAAAAACACAAAATAAAGGTGCCTGGCAAGCGTAAGGTCTTGAGTTCGATCCCCAGTACCGCAAAAATAAGAAGAAGAAGAAATAAAGGGGTATGGGCGTAGCCCTGGGCTCAACCCTACCACTGGGGACACACACCGAGACCATCCAGCCCCTCGCTTCCTGTCCTGCGCTCTGATCCTCTCACACACAGCCATTTCCCGTGCTTTCTGCTTCCCCACCACACTGTGCTGCAGCCAAAAAGTCCTCATCAGAGCTCAAAGAGATGGACCACACTCCGAGTCTCCAAAACCATGCGCTAAATAAGCCTCTTCTTTATAAAGTACCTGGTCTCAGGTATTTTGTTACTATAATAAAATACAAACCAATATGCCATGTCATTCTAGTTGTAGCTGAAAGAAGCTGTGTGCTAAGATTTGCCCCTCTGGCTCATTCTATTAATTCACAAGAATGAAACATCAAATCCACCTTCAAAATATCAGTTAAAATACTATTCCCAGAGGCACTGTTATAGAGCAAACTGCCTCTCATTTTGGCTTTAAACCCAACCACATGCACCTACCAGTAATCTCTCCACTGCCTCCACTCCTCAGCTCACCCGTGGGCTTGGATGGCTTGCAGCTCTCCTACTTTCTTGCTCACTCCGAGTCACCTCTGTAGTTCCCAGACCTTTTGGCACCAAGTACACCTTTCACTTCCCCACTATGCCAGACAATCTCAGGATATTCAAGCCATTTCCCTCACCAAAACCAACGAATGTGCAAGCCGTCTGAGACGCTCATCTATCTGTATTGGTCAATGAGGCTGTCATTCAGCAGGATGCACTCCAGGCATAAAGGCTGAGAGGGGGCCACAAGCATTAACAGCTTTTCTATCTGCATGCTGTACATTCCTGGAGACCCCAGGGTAGTTAAATAGGGATGGAGCTGAAAAACTGACAGGATAAGAAATCACTGCTGGCTGGTTGTGGTGGCGCACACCCGTAATCCCAGCACTCCAGAGGCTAAGGCCCAAGAATCACTGCATGTTCAAGGCCAACCTGGGCAACAAAGTGAATTCAGGGCCAGCCTGAACTGCAGGTGAAACCCTGTGTCAGAAGAATTTTTAAAAGTCAATGTTAGTTGTAAATGCAATGAGTCTTTTTCTGTCTTTTTAACAAAAATGTTGTTCCCAATTTCTCTCATAAGAGAAATTTGATTTCTAAAAGATAAATCCTCCCAAGGAGCACACTGTTTTAAAAGTTTAGAGATTTAAAAAAATAAAAACAAGGTCTGCAACACCACATAGACCATCTTGCCAGGACAGCCCTAAAGCATGCTCTGGCCTTGCTGACATTATTAACATAACACCAACTTCGCTTTTCAGAAGTATCCCAGCAGACAAACTACAGGTCCACCTTAGCTGTATTTCTGTCAGCACTGAAACAGTTGCTTCACTACACAATGGTCCTTCATTTATATTCCCCTTTTTTGTTTACTTTTGTCAGAGATGGGCATTCCACTGCCATTCAAATACTGTAGGTGCATGAATTCAGCAAAGTAATCCAACATAGTTCAGTAGTCCATAATAGTAGTGGGTTATCCACAGGACTGGCAATATCAGAAGTTGTTGACTTGAGGCTTTTACAGCTCAACATATTAATATGGCTTTACTTTTTGTACCTTGTTTCTATACTTTTCTTCTGGATGGTTAAGACCAAGATAAAGATAAAGACAAAGATAGATAGATATATCTGTATATACAAAATAGCACAGATAGAGCTTTCTCTAAAAAAAAAAAAAAAAGAGCTACTTTCTCTTAGTTCAATGAGAAGAAAGTTTTGAACTAATAGTGCTTAGACAAGATATCATGTCTGCATCTTGTATTATGAATAACTACTAGGAAGACAACAATATGCAATGTATTGATGATTGTAACTGTCCTACTAGCCTGTTTTGAAACTGTCTCATTGCTATTTCTTTCTCAATAAAATTAATTTTTTAAAAAAAGAAAAAAGGAATAGTTGCTTTGATCCCCAGGCCTGCCATGCTGGCCCCGCCCCCAGGGTACGCTGAGACAGCAATTGAGACTGGGCATAGTGGTGCACACCTATAATCCTAGCTCTTGGGAAGCTGTAAACAGGAGAATCACTATGAGTCTGATCTACTAGTGAGACCCTAAACACCCTGTAGACCCTTCCCTAAAATACAGGGGAAAAGACCATGCATGGAGAATAGATATTTTCTCCCTAAAAGCACAACATACCATGAAATTATTGTCAACAATGTTTTTCTATGATGTCTATGCAGAACCAGGATGGAATTAATGGTACTAGGTGCTCAATGGAGGCCTGAGACATGTGACCTCCTCATACTAAATACAACTCCAGGCTTCACCAAATGGACTTGGCTTGTAAGTCAAGGAGAGGTAAATGATTGATAGATAGATAGATAGATCTAAAAGCTACACTAAAAATTCTCAATATGGTAGCACCAAAAAGAGGAAATGAAAAGATTAAATATACCATCCCAGGCTGGGATAATAGTTCAGTGGTCTAGGTGCCTGCCTGGCAAGCACAAGGACCCAAGTTCAATCCCCAGTACCACATGCTCCAGAAACCAGGCGCTCCTTGCCAGCCACCAAAACCAGAAGTGGTGGTGTACCTCTGTAATGCCAGCTCTGAGGAAGCTAAGACAGGAGGATCACTACAAGTCCAAGCTGTGTAGCAAGACCTTCTACCAAATAAATGATTAAATAAATAAAGTATCTTTAAAAAAAATTAGAAAAGAAAAAGTATGGCATCCTACAGGACTCACTACTTTTATCGAACCAGATGGGAATGTCCTGCAACAGATCTGTGTCAATGTAGTTGTCGCTGTCTGTCTGTCTGTGTCTGTGTCTGTGTCTGTGTCTGTGTCTGTGTCTGTCTGTCTGTCTGTCTCTCTCTCTCTCTCTCTCTCTCTCCCCTCCCTCTCCCAGGACAGCACTTCAGGGAGACTGTGGCAATCTCTTACTCATAAAGCATCATTCTCTACCAGTAACTCTCAGTCATGAAAGAGATCAACAAATATGATCTAGTCCAATCTCTTACCTTTTCTTTAAATCAAACCAAATGTTCTTTGAATAAGTCTATTTTCTCTTTAAATTTAGAAATTTATTGTTTAATCCACAAGCTTCCAATAGCTTTAGTTTAAAAAACAAAAACAGTGAAACCAAGACATTATTTCAAAGTTCATGTCTTTCCAGCTTCCAAATACAAGCGCTCTGAACATTATATATCCAAACTGGGATATAAAGAAGAAGAGTAGGACAAAAATGTGAATGGAGCCATGACTTTTCAGAAAACAAAACTGAAGGATCCACCGATCCTTCCTGGGATGAGTTTACTGCCTTTACAAGCAGGGGGAGAGGAGGGAAGGGAGGGGGGTGGTGACTAGGGAGGGAGAAAAGAAAAGAAACCCAGAATCCGGTAGAATCCAATTCCAGTGTTGCTACATATCCGCTTGCTACATATCCATATAGACCTATTTTTTCTTTAAAGACTCATCCCTGTCCTCTAATCATTCTCTTTTAAAATTCCTTAATTTCCCAAAAAGAAAATTAGTAATAAATTTCCAAAG